TTAATTTTTTGTATCTTTATTGCTTCTAATTATAAACGTCTGACCCAAAGCTAATTACACTCGCTCTAATCGTTCTAATCACTGATATTTTTTTATACGTGATCTTACGTAGGTTACTGTTTACACAAAGCTTTCTCATGAAACCTCAATTGTTTTCGAAATTAATTTGATTATGCTAATTTCTATGTTTTACTTTGTTTTTTATTTTGTTTTGTTCATATTCAGTCATTATAGATATTACCATGATGATGCCTCGACTGAACAGAAGTGTCACGTCGACTGATGTTCGGAGCGAGGAGATTACGGTCTATGGAAATAAGTAAGATACTCTTGATTTCGTATGTTGTATTCTGCCTTTCAGTTTTTTGCCAGTTGTCTCAAGTAAGGATTTTCCTATTCCTGGGAATGTTGTAACTCCGTTTTTTACGGATGACGTTAGTGCTCTCGCATCCTGACGAGCAGCATGTTCGAGACTTTCAGAATATAGTTGGCCAAGATGAATAGGTAGGGTAGGTTTCCTCTCACTGATGGTTACTCATTCATTTCATTCACAGATTGATTGTTTCACTGAGTTCACATCGTGACCTGCTGGACAGTCTAGTTCTTGAGGGAACAAGAACTAGACCTTCACATGAGGTCCACACAGGAGAAAGAGAAGTCAATAAGACTGAGGATTGCCATTCACAGTTAGCTGGTAAGTTGGTCTAGCGTTTCCTACCCACTTTTTCGTGTAGATGCTTTCCTGCTTAAATCTAATATATTCCTCAAGTAAGGCTAAGGATTCTTGTGTTTATACGCGTGTCGTGTCTCCGTTGTTACGGATAAAGGTAACAATTTCCTCAATAGCTGTACGCAACTTGGATGTTATCATTCGCTCAAAAGGTATTTTGGTATTCCGGAAATAGACTTACATATTTTCCTACTTTTCACAGCCTTACAAACGACAAACACAAGCAGCAAGCTCGAGACTTACCGAACATGATTGAATGGGAACGGTAGGTATCTTCTATTGATCTTTGCTCATTCATTTTCACAGAATAATTCTATGTTTCCCTAGTTTCACATCATAACCTGAAGGATGAGTCCAGTTCTGAAGGCAAGAAGAACTAGCAAGTCGATCAAAGTTGAACGTTATCATTTGTTAAAAGGTATTTTGACCCTTGCGAGAATAGACTTTTCACAGGTTTACAAACGACATTGCGTCGATAGACCCTTAGGTCGCTTTCAGGAACTAAGAAGGAGGAGTCAATAAGGCTGAGAACTGCCATTACCAGCTAGTTCCTTCATTTCTCAAAATTGATAGCTGGTCTACCGTTTTTTACGAGTAATCTTCCAGAAACTGAATTGTTTCACTCTGATATCTTCTTGTACGAAGCGTTTTCCCAAATGCTCTCTTGAGAGAACTTCCACGCAGATGACGTCTATGCAGGATAACCGAAGTAAGCATACTTGATTTTTGATAAAAATACTTTTTCAGAGAATTTTTGGAATTGTAAATGTTTTAAATCGTAAAACTCATTCTGGATTATCTAAGAGGTTAGTCGATTGTTATAGAGAGAGAGTAGAAGTCGAGATGGTTGACAGAACGAGCTGGGGTTGCTTTACGGAGATACGGACTGAATGGTGGAGGATGTCGGGAAATAGAATCTCGATTGGCTCACGGTACAGCTCTTTCTCTACACTTTCACGATTCTTGAAAAGGACACAAAAATAAAGATTTTGCTGAGCTGTTGGTTGCAGCGGCTGCTCATAGTCCGTTGAACTGTCTACATTCTTATGTTCCTTTGTTTTCATGTTGGTTTTTGTTCAGGATTCATCAGCTTCAGCCCAGTTTCTGCTCCTGACTCTGGAGAGATGTGAAACAGGGCCGTGGATCAGGAAGAAACTCTGTTTTCTTCAGGAAAAAGGGGGAAAAATAGCTTTTTACCAATTTAATTGTATTTTTTTAATAAAATTTTCTGGTTTTGTTCCGAGGCCACCTTGCCTCAACCCTTTTCTAAAAAATTGAAAATCCAGATCGCGTCGGGACCAGTTTCTCAAATTTCAAAATTTCTGAGAAATTTTCAATTTTTTAAATTTAATTTGAGCTTTTCTTCTTTTAATTCATCTTTTATTTGTTATTATTCAATATTAAATTTTTCCAAAAGCGTTTATTCACAAGTAGAAGACAGATTCCTCTCGGTTGGATGTTCCAAACCCTCGTCTGAGGCAGTTGAAAGATTGTAATGCATTGAAATAAATATTTTGTTCTTGTTCGATTTCTTTCACGTGTTAACATGGTTGGAACCATTATTATCTGTTTTTTGAGGCTATCAAGGAACAAGTCACGTGGTTGTCGTGATACCATCAGAGGTTCTAGGACTTGGATTTCTGAGGTAAGTCTAAATATATATAGTCTGTTTCTTTTAGATCATTCACTTTGATTTGTCGTTTTGAACCTCCCACCTTACCCTATACAACCGAAAGAATGAGTAGCAGGTTATTAGGTTTGGTTAGAACTCAGTTTTTATTCTCAGTTTTTCAGGCAGGCA